CGCGTCTTATTATAGTTTCGTATTTGTATGTGCAGAAAGTACCTAATATGACAGTTTGTGTTTGTATTTTGGGAAAAATGTATCTAAATATAATAAACACCCACTTGAATACGTTTTAAAACTTTCAATAACAGGATTATACCATTGTAAAATATATTATTTGTTAGGATTTAGAGATTTTGTTTGTATTTTCAAGAGATACAGATGTCAGTGCGCCTACTATATATTTAGTTATTTTTTGGGATAACCTGGTAAATGAGCACACGGATCACCTGATGGTAAGCATTCGGCGTCGCCCATGGACACCTGGAACACCAGAGGTGTTACAATTGCGTAACCGGCCTTTTGGGGTTAGGGATTCAGGGATTGGGAAAGGGTGGAGGGGTAATTGGGCCTCCGGTAACTTCACTCACATGACGAAACACAACGCAAGCGTTGTTTCACGTCGGTCTTCTGTGAGGCCGTGGTATCACTCCGATCGAGCCGGCCCATTCGTGTCGAAGCATGGCTGTCCCACACTTAAATTATTGTCAAAGTAATAATTTCATTCTTATAAATCTTCAGATGTACCTGCCTATTTTCTTGACACATCTATGTCAAGGGTATTGTAGCAAAAGGTACTGTTAGATAAGAGGCCAGTACCTTTTATTAGGCCTTAAGTAATACAGGAACCGTAATCTTATCACGAAGACGTAGAATAATTCAATTTTATTTTTACCACAACCTTTCAAGTAATAATAGACCCCAGTAAAAGATAGATTTCAATAATTGAATGTGTAGGTGGACGGTCCAATGTATACTCAGAATCTGGGACACTATAAATAGGTAATGTAATGATCAGCAAATATATTAAAAAGCTATTAGAAATTTAAGTTGATATGTCTAACAGTGTAAGTCATTGACGCTCTCAATTATGCTCGAAAATTGAAAGGCATGTGGCTAGACTAGACTAGTAGAAGATAGACAGCAGTGGTTGTCCCTAGAGGACGCCTTCAGCTTCTAATGAGAGGGGTTCTTGAAAAAAAAAATCCCATATATTATGCATACTGTTTTCTTTTTTCTTTATTATACACTAGCGACCCGCCCCGGCTTCGCACGGGTGCAATATGTATATACATACAAACCTTCCTTAAGAATTACTCTATCTATTAAAAAAAACCGCATCAAAATCCGTTGCGTAGTTTTAAAGATCTAAGCATACATACGGACATACAGCGAAAGCGACTTTGTTTTATACTATGTATTGATAAGTGTAAATTTATTGTGTGTAGCAAGAAATAAAAGGCTTATTTATTTTATTTTCATAACATCACGCCATTTATCCCCGAAGGGGTAGGCAGAGGTGTACATTATGCCACTGTACAATGTAACACCCACTTTTCACTATTTATGTTATGAGTCCCATGTAATAGGGGTTATTTTATTTTCATTGATTTACTTATGTCTAATCAGTTCTCGAATTCATTTTTTATAGTACCATATTTTATAGTATTTTAAAAAAATGAGTTCAGGGCTATATATAGGCGACAAATAAAGAACTGATCACTTGATGCATGACATATTAACTTTAACTTCGGTTACTAACATTATTCACCTCTTAACATAATCCATTCAAATCTACCTTTTACTTTTAAAGGCCCTGAATTTATGAGCGTCTCAAATAGGTTAATCATCAAACCAATCGATGTATTGAACTTGGTCACTAGACCAACTCCTTGCACGCAGCCCAACCTTTACCAAAGAAATTGAAGACGTGTCCTGATTCATGAATGCCGAGAGCCACTTCATTCCAAAGCCAATCCCTTTACATTTCATTAATTGGCAGGTACGTATAGCAATCACAAAAGGGTTTCATTATCAAGGGAATTGCCTAATACCTTTATCTGAGACGGTAAGTAGAAAGAGTTTCAGGTCAGGTTCTGCCCCTAGGGTTTTGTTGATTTAATGGCTTTCATTAGGATACTTTAAGACATTGGACCTTAGGGAACTACTTACCCTAATTTGTGTTAAGGGTCACCTAGTTTTTTACGGAAACTCGCGTGGGCATTTTGCATGGAATAGTGGTATAGCGTGATAGGTGACTGAGTAAATATGGCTCATTGAATTGTTATAGTAAACACGCATATCAATTTTGTGGTTCGATTTTTATAGGGATTTATTTGGAGTGCGTGGCGTGGTCTTTCTAAACTTAAGTGTATTGAAATGATTTGAATATCTTGTTACTGAAATGTTTCTGTCGTCAGAAGTACTAGCTATGGCCGCGACTTCGTTCGCGTGGAATAGTGATTTACTGCGCTTACCCTGTAGGTGACAGCGTGATAATATGTAGCCTGTATGTTGACCCGACCTGTTAGTAATAATCATAAAAAATTCAAAGTAAATCCATGCAGAACTATTTCAGATGCGGGATCCCGGACATATATACAGACAAATCGACAAAAATTAAAAACTATATTTTCGGCATTAGTATCGATTATTGATTACTCCCGAAGAATTCTTTAAAAAAATATTCACTTTACAGTTTTGAACTTTCTACGATTATATTATATGTATATAGAAGATTTAACATATTAGGTTTTTTGCCAGACTTATTAGGGCCGACTTTTCAATTAGTCATCAGTCAATTTTTAACTGTAGAATAAGCTTGACATTTGACAGATTTTAGTATGGAAGTATTGTCAAATATTTCCTTAGTAGGGCTTATGGCCAATTTTACTAACGCCAGATAAATTTTAACTGAGGAATAACTTTGAACAATTGACAATTCTTCCACGATGAAAACTGTTAAATGTCAATTTAATTCTACAGTTATAAATTAACTGATGATTGAAAAATCGGTCTTTGACAGGTTAAATGCTGTTCCACAATCACTGTTCAATCTGATGAGGAAAATCGACCAATAATTAAAGTTTTAAATGACGGGAAATATACAATTACGATACCTAGTATAGCCTGTTCGTTGAATTCGATACCTCGTTAGAGATTTTTCTTGTAATGTTACAAAGCAAACAGCAATAAGATTTTCATCCATCATTTCACTACTATTTATTTTGTATTTGTTGACGTTTCAAAAGTACCAAATTATGGTTTAACTCGTTGAGTACCGTCATTATAGACACAATTATAGAACAATAGGTTGCGGTCACCGGTGATTCCATATAATTTGGTTTTGTCTACATGTAGACAAGCGTTAAGTGGCATTTGCTTACAGCTGCTGATGTATAATTTTTTGAGTGAAAGAGGCTAAATGAAAGACAAGAATTAACCGTCTGATATCACCTTTACTAGTTTTTATGAGTTCTTTGTAATGGGGGCGAGCTCATGCACTGGTTGAAACTGACTGACTAATAAGTCCAACAACACATGACACATTGCCGAACTCAGAAATCAAAATGTACATAACATCATCACGCCTTTTATCCCCGAAGGGGTAGGCAGAGGTACACATTATCATGTAACACCCGCTTTTCACTATTTATGTTATGAGTCTCATGTAATAGGGGGTGAGACTATTGCCATATACCGGGCACAATTCCAGACTCTATGCTACTGCTGATTTTTTTTAAAAACAAAGTAATACTTTGCCCGTCCTGGGAATCGAACCCGAGACCCCTTGCCCGGCAGTCGCACTTGTGACCACTCGACCAACGAGGCAGTCTGAGGTAGAATCAAAATCTGTTTGGCAAATAACTCAGAGTTTCAGATTATTCCCCTTTGGCCAACGAAGTTATTCAGCAGTTCAACATGAAAACAAATTAAACAAAGTTAAGACCAGGCCAGTGTCTTTGAAACAAGATCTCCTTTGATCGAATTACAGGTTGAGAATTAACGACTAATTGATGGGCGGCCAGCAGCTAGCTAATCAGTCCTTTACATTCGACACCATGGTGGACCTGATCTGATCTCACAAAGTTTTACAAGATTACTTAGACTTATAAAGAAGAGCAAAATAATAATAAGATAACATAACATAATGCCTTTTGCTGTGCGTAGAGGGAGCTCGCACATTCTTGCGATGCGGCGTCGCATCGCAGTTTTGTGTAGCCTAAATGAGGTCTATAGTCCAGTGCAGTGGACTTACGTGGGCTGTCAAAGCATATATGTACGTTATGTTGTAGTATATTTTAGGGGAAAATCCCTTAACGCCAGACGGCACCTATCGCCAAACACATATATTATCTCAATAACTAATAACGCGAGTGACTAAATTTTTAGGCGGAAGTCTCTCAGTGGCAGACACCCATATATACTATATATAAAAATCTATATAATACTAAAATGTACTATTTATAAAGGAACTTGCCTACAACAAACTACTCAGTAAGTAGTACGGGGGGCTTAAAAACGTGATGCTAATGACATAAAACTTAAAACATAGACTTCTTAAGTCACCTGCACTTAGTCGTGGGACGTGCGAGTCATAAGTTAAACTTAAGGGTGCTTAGGCTAAAAACTTTTCAGCCGTCCTATGGTTCAGACCCCTATGATTACTCTCTGAAGAAGTGATCTAACGTTGCATGATTTGGTTAAGATTAGGTATGTTGTAATTCAAGAGGATTTGTCTCCATTCCAGATAGCAATAAATTCACTTAAAAATTACATTTAAATTAAATATTCATTGATATTAAATAGAGTCATGGTGGCCCGGAGGTTTAGAAACTTACCAACAGCAAGTACCGAAGTGACTTTTCCCGAGTTATATGTACTTTCTATGAATATTATAAGACTATAAGTACTTTATAAGACACCACTGATAAACGGTGAAAGAAAACGTCGTGTGGAAACCTAAGCTTATAATTTATAAGTTTGAAATTACCAACCCGCATTGAGCGAGCGTGGCGATTAATGCTCAAACCTTCACCGTTTGAGAAGACGCCTTAGGTCAGCAGTGACCACTTATAAGCTGTTGATGTTGATTCATGGATATAAAGATAATAAGTAAGTAAATAATTTTATTATAAATACCATCTTTACATTAGCCAAGAAAAAAAAAACAGAACAATAAGTAAATAATATTTTTATTGACTATTATTAAGAACAATATGAACTTACGAGTATAAATATTGACTAAGAATAAGAATTTAATACAGTCGGGTTCGACCATCGTGGCTCGAAACTTAACAATAAAAATATAATCGTTTGGTTATGATGTCGATGACAGTATTCGATTTATTCGATACATTTTTATAATACATACATTAAGATTACACAGAAAATAAAACGGAAAACGTGTTGGTGCATTCTTCTTCAGTCCATCAAACAGATAATCATCTGTGCTAAAGAAAGAATAGACAAATATGCGATTAATATAATTAATTTTCGTTTATGAAATAAGTGCTTAAAATTCTAAAATGCTGGAAGATCTCCATTGTCATATCTATTATATTAAAATAGATCGAAAGCCACGACAATGTAATCCGATTTGAAGACGTCACTGGAATTTCTTCCTGAGTATTATATTAGTTTCAAGGCAGTATTTTAATCTTAAACCTAGTTTCTAAATTAACTACATGACTAATTACAAAAACAATGAAGTATAAATTACTTCTAATGGAGAAGGAGATGGTGGGAAAGACTTTCGAGGTGAAAGAGGGAGAGTTGGGAATGAGAAAGGTTATCTAGAAGATTCTAGAGGACGGTGACTTAATTTCTAGGTTGTTGTCTGGGGCGGTTCTGCTCCTGGTACTCTCCGTTTGGTCTCTTGTGCTGCTGACCCTGGAATTAAAGAAAGAAAAACGTTATTATGCATCTTTTGGACGAGTAGGTGTATTTTTATCGTCTAATTGTTTAGGGAAAAAAGATACATGATGAAGATTATGGTAAACCTTCTTAGAAAGATAATAGTTCAGTAATGGATGTCACATCTGCGACTGCTTTAGATATTAATCGTTGTTAAGCCGGCAAAACATTTACAGGCCTCGGTAAGCATCGGTCGTCATTGTTCCATATGGCATCCAATGTGTTAAGTATGCCGCGGAGAACCTAACGGGTAACCGGGGCTCCGGCTCGACGTGCAGGAGAAGGAACGGGGTGGTTTTAGTCAGTAAGAGTCTGACACTCCCTCCCGCCTCACACAGGCGGGAGCAGTACAGTGCAGTGCAGAGCAGCAAAAAAAAATGTGTTAAGTATAGATTATGAGTAAGTAAAAAAATATAGGATTGTGATAGTGTTTTCAGTATTTTTCAGTTCTGTCAGTAGCACAGAGTTTGTAACAACGTATTTTTTTTTCCCGCGTCAATTCGTAGTTATATTTAATAGCAATCGCACGTCAGATATGTGAAAAGTTAAAAAGGTTCATTAAATCAGTGGAACACAGTTGTAATGGTTTTCATCAGTTTTCCTTACGTAATGGAAAGTAATCTAAGTACAAAGCAATCAAAGATTGTTCAAAAGCAAATATTTCCTTAACTTCATCAAGTTGTAGACTTCCATTTATGTACAAATGGCTCAATATATTGAATCAATCGAGTAAAACGGACATGATATACGTTAGTATAGAAAACCAACTCTGATTATTTCATGATGGAGTTTTATTCCATGGGTAAATAATTATTGACAGCAAAAAGGAAGGAATAGATTCAATACAATGTACATTTATAATAAATCTGTTGTATATCTACTGGACATAATAATATAATTTAGTATTGATTTGTAAATGAATTGACTTATTTTAAGAACCGCTATTTGACTGCATAATAATGGATATACTGAACGTAATTTACTATTGACTATCATATAATTAACTACCTAATTTTGAAATATTGTGACATCAAATTTCCTTTTTTTTATAAAAACGTTGCCCCACATTAGGATTATCTCCTGTGTCGTGGGTGCGTTTACAAACACACAAGTTCACATACACAATGACACCCAGACCCGGAACAACAATTTGTGGATCACACAAAGTGTTGTTCCGTGCGGGAATCAAACCCGCGACACGTTGCACGGCAGCCGGTTGCCCAGCCACCGCACCAACCGTGCAGTCTGTTTATCTCTATTTTTCATATGTTTATCTCTGTAATGAAATTGAATAATGACTATTATTGTACAAATTGCTGATTTTAATGAAATTAGATATAAGGCTCACCCACTATTACATGGGACTCATAACATAAATAGTGAAAAGTGGGTGTCACTTCTGTGTGCACCTCTGCCTACCCCTTCGGGAATACAAGGCGTGATGTTATGTTATGTAGATATAATTTTTATACCTATAAAATTTGTACGCCACTATTGGTGAAACATGGACGCACAACATTACTTATTTAACATCTTGCATATCTGATTATCATCATCGGTTTATGTATACGCATGTTTTACAAATAAACAATCTTTCTTTCTTTCTTTCTTTCAACTTTTGAGTACCTACGACAATAATAGCAAATTTTTTCTAAAAGATTTTTTGAATTCTCATCACACTGACGTGTACCTCTTCAATAAGCAGTATCAGATCTACATAAAAGCACATTTAAAATTATCATAAAGTATTTCTTAGAAGCTTTCTTCTTAAAAGCAATTTTTAAATATTTTGCATACAGTCTTTTAATAAAGCTCAGGTGAATGAGTCGACAGGGTTGTGTCTTCACTTTGATTATATTTCCAGTTTTGATAAATTTTATTTTTAACCTTATATCTTATAAGTAATAGGTAATAGTTATATTTTAACATAATATAACATCACGCCTTTTATCCCCGAAGGCATAGGCAGGAGTGCACATTATGCCACTGTACAATGTAACTCCCACTTTTCACTATTTATGTTATGAGTCCCATGTAATAGGGGGTGAGCCTATTGCCATATACCGGGCACAATTCCAGACTCCGTGCTACTACTGAGAATTTTTTAAAAACCCAGTAATACTTTGCCCGACCCGGGAATCGAACCCGAGATCATTATGTAATGATATAATTAAGATAATGTATAAAATAATATATTTAAAATATCTAATAGATAATGTATAGTACATAAGTGACAATATTTTTAATAATAAGTTTATAGTTAATAATTAAGTTGATAATGAATAAAATATGTACATAATATATTAGATGACTATTTAGTTATTATTTATTTTATAAGTTAAATTGCTGCGCCCTAACTGGGCGATGTACTGCTCTAATAGTAGGTATACTACTTCTATGTATGTACATAGTGCAATAAATAAATAAATAAATAAATAAGTTTTTATTTTTTGAGTTTTATACACACGTACAGCCTCTGAAGTAGAATATTACCTATTACCGGCCTTTTGGGCATTAGGAGTTTGAGGATCGTTGGGGATTCAGGGATTAAAGAGATTGGGGAAGGGCAGGGTAATTGGGCCTCCGGTAACCTCACTCACACGACGAAACACAACGCAAGCGTTACTTCACGTCGGTTTTCTGTGAGGCCGTGGTATCACTCTGTCGAGCCGGCCCATTCGTTTCCGAAGCATGGTTCTCCCACACTTAGACCAACTATAACTAGACGTGTATAAATTATAGTTACAGTAATAAAATATAACACTTATCATGTTCTTTTAAACCTTCTGTCTATTTCTTTTTTGTAACGCAGACTTCAGTACAAAGTCATGAAGTTTGGGTGCGAATCAATAGGCATCGATTTGCCCGTCCATTCAATTACTATCTCTACTTACCTATGTACTGTTCTAGCACCTTAAGGTTTCCATTATTTGGTTTCGAATGTTCCTTTACTTTAATTACTGTAATTGTTGCCCTAACGAAAACTTTACCTCAGTCATTTGAGAGGTTCAAGGAATTTAGTGTTCTGTGCTTCGTATTGTAATGTGTTTAAGTTTTAGCATCTACTAACTGTAACTTGCGTACATTACTAACTATTTAAGTGTAGTAGCCATATGCTTCGGCACGACCGGAGTGATATCACGGCCTCACAGAAAGCCGACGTGAAACTACGCTTACGTTGTGTTTCGCCGTGTGGATGTGGTTACTGAAGGCCTAATCTCCCTTTCCTAATCTCCCTAATCCCTAAATCCCTAACAATCGGTAAATTCCCAATCCCAAAAGGTCGGTAACGCACTTGTAACGCCTCTGGCGTTCCAGGTGTTAATGCGAGACGCCGATTGCTTACCATGAAGTGATCCATCTGCTCGTTTACCGGCTTATACCATAAGAAATATTGTTTGTTGTTGTTGTTGAGAATCTCTTACTTTTAAAGGGTGCAGTTGTTTATCCATTATTTTGTGGTTATCTTTGGTATGTTATTGAGATTTGCAAATCTGTGCCCCAGTATGGTATGTATTAGGTATTGAGTCTAACACTAGTATGTCACTCTGTGACGCGACTAATAAAAGCAGAAGTCTTGTTAACAGTAGCCTTTTTCTTCTTTTTTCTATAAATAACCGTTAAAATGCTACTTTTAAACAAACATATATCATAATACTTTTGTAGTAAGTTTCACTATTCCACTTTAATTTTTGTCACCAACCAGTGCCCTAATCTCGATGGAAACATGGGCTCCCGTTGGGCAGTTATTCCCTAATTCAAACTGACGGCCTCACAGTTGCAATCGGTTTAGGCAAATGGCAGTAACACGTCTATCCACGACGAGTGAAGTCACGTGTCCTAAATCCGATCGGATTTCGTCATCCATTTTAATTTGGATGGACTTGTCCACAGAGCGTATGACTTGTCAGATATTTGGACATTGTATCCTATTGTCATTTTGGTCAGTGTTTTTTTTTTAAAGGAGGGAAAATCATGAATGACTTCTCCCGCCTGGGTGAGGCGGGAGGGAGTGTCAGACTCTTACTGACTAAAAACCACCCCGTTTCTACACCTGCACTTCGAGCCGGAGCCCCAGTAACCCATTAAGTTCTCCGCGGCTCCGGATCGGCATCAGCTCTATAGGGCCCTCCGTGGTGGTCTGGTGGCTTTTTGAGGCGCGCGCGGAACGCGATGGGCCTAGGCTCGGGTCTGGGTCTGGTCGGGCGGCGAGCAACTCATGCTCGCCGTCCGCAGGCCCGCGCTTACGGTGCTGCGGTGGCCGGAAATCTTCTCGCGATCCCCGACGCCCAGATTGTCCTTTGTGATGGCTGGGTTGTGAGGAGGCAGCGCTTCGCTGCCTCAATTAATTAAACTGTCAAACACCAAGCGGTCACCGGTGACCGCAACCTATTGTTCTATAATTGTGTCTATAATGACGGTACTCGACGAGTTAAAGGTTGATATGGACGTCATTGATAGCATGTTTACAAGATTCAACATTACTTGCGTGACTGCAAGGGTATCAACTGAAAACCAGTGTTGGGTACTTATTGGGTCCAGCTCATACTGAGTTCGCAAGCCCTTTAGTCATGGGCATGTTGCCACCTTGTTGTTTTTTTAATTATTTTTTTTTATTTATGTTTGTGTATTTGGTGTATCCTGTCTAGGGGCATTTTTTTTTCTTTTTTACATTTGATTCGCTTGCCTTAAATGGGGATTGGGTAGCGATTCAGACCTACGCAACTACTACTGAATCTCGATCGAAATCAATATTAAGCTTTGATAGCAACCATAGGACCAAGACATCTAGCCAAAATTCTAGTTAACTAAAATCTATTTCAGTTTACAGAAACATACACTGTAAGCTGATGTAGTTACTGCTATTAGTAAAATATTTAATTACTTATTATGATGCACGACTATGAACTTTGACGTCATCGCCACTAAAATGAGGGAGTGTTAGAGATAACGAGGTATTCCCACTACACTCCCACTCCTTTACACCTTTGGAATATTAATTGGAATATTTCATTATAAGTGTCGGGATCCGTGATGCTATTTTTGTTGATATATTTATGTTTAAGGACATCAGGGATTACGCTTGTGTATATTCCTGGGGAGTAATATTATCTATATATTTACAGTTACTTATCGAAAATATCAATAACACAGGCATCCAATATTAGGTACTTATACTGAGTACACTTTTATTTACTCCAGTAAAATAACCATTTAATCAATATACTTAAAAATGCATAAAGAAAATTTTATATTTTCTACGATAAGATACAAAGAATATAATTTGCATATTTATTCGTGTAAAATAACAGTGCACGAATACATTTTAACATAAAAACAAGTCAGAAACGTAAGCTAATGAAAAATAAACCAGCACATTGAATCTGCATGGAAAAATAGAAAATATTGCTTCTAGTTGCTCTTATTTGTTTAAGCAAAGAATGGTAAAAGCTGCGGTCTGTTTCGATGAATCGAATTTTTCTTTTTGCCATGTGGTTGTTGAAAAATGAAATAGGTACAAAGCATTGTAAACAGTGCATGCAGCGAAGTTTATACTTAATGATTAATAACACGTTTAGTTGCGTAAAAAGATGAAAGATATGAAATATAACAAGTATACAAATATTTGTACACAATTATTGTGCTTGTTGTTTGCATAGGCCTAGTCTTACACTTTCTTTTATATCAAATTATGTCCTAACACCCTAAACTGTTGATTATTGTTTTGTTTCTAATTTCTTAATAGGGATGATGTTAGGGTATGAAAATTAAAAATCTAATTAGTTTTTCAGTTAGGTAACGAAAAAATATTAGACACGTATTTTTTTATTTTGTCGTATAAGAAAACAATACTTAGATAAAACGAATTAAAGTTTAGGAGCGGTAACTACGTTATTTTGGAGTATAAATAGTACACAAAAGTGACGTCATGCGATATTTCAAATAAATATTCGAAACTAATCGTTTCCGTAAGAAAATAAAAAATACGTGTCTAATGTTTTTTAATAATCTCCCAGACGGGCATTAAAATAAAAAATAGTTATCTACCCTATAATCAGCATGCCACAGTCCACTCTTGAACTATGGGCTTCGTGGATTCGAGGATTTGCCATAATCTTATTTGGCTAATCACATTAATCCTTTACCTGTCTCAAATCCTGCTGGCTCTCTTCTTCTGGTGGTGGTGCGGTCGTGGTGGGCACGTCACACTCCTCGGTGGGAGGCACCACACACCTCAGGGACCGTCTGTCGAAGACCAACATAGCGGGACACCTCTGCAGACGAGGGTATCCTCCTTGGCACTGCCAGTAGCGGTTGCAGGACTTGCCTAGGGGCACGTTTCCGTTGGGGTCGTCATTGCAGAGAGCTGGAAGAAAAATATTGGTTTGAGATATCGGATTTTAGGAGATTAACCAAAGAGTAATGTACGGTTAGATGCTATGAAGCTACTCGAGTATGGCTTATAATAATAATATCGCAGGTTAGGAAGAATAATCTATTTGTAGTGAAACAACTGAATTTATTTCTGCAAATAGGCTACGAGGCAGCACTTTTATACGTCAATTTTATCAAGCGAACGATGAGGTCGACATGTCCTAACTGACTACTCTGAGAAGAAATGCCGAAACAAATTCAGAGGTCCGTCTCTTTTAAAGTCCAGTGATGTCAAAACCGATGGAGCTTAAGACAATTGAGAAAGAATTTGATAGAATATCACTATTATTAATATGCACCTGTATAATTGTAAATAAATACGGGCAAAACAACGTAGAATGATAACAATCGAACAAAATGACGTCAACAACACAAAATACAAATAGATAGCAATCTAATGAAGTTAGCAGTCAATGATTATGAACGGAATCCACATCAAATAATTAAGTTAAGAGTTCTTCCTCCAAGTTAGTTGGTGCATAAGTAAAGAGATTGGTCTTCCGAAGAAACTTCGCTTATCTCATTACTACAGCTCTTTGTCTCGGCAATAAGGACTGATATAAGTCCAAACGAGTCTCTCCGTTTATTTATTAATTCTAACAAAAGAAAGAACAATAAGAGAAAAGATAAATTTCATTCTAATTTCCGGAATTATTACTTTTAATTATAAATCTTTGGTTTGGAATGAAACACAATTTTAAGCGGTTTGAATTGTTTTTGAAATTTGTAGTATTTTTTTTGCGGTTGAATAGGGCATGTTCAGTTGTTTCTTAAAAAAGTAGTAAAGAATGTATGTGTCAAGATATGAGAAGTAAACAGACCTAATTTACATCCACAAATCTTTAAGAAAGCGACTGAACTTCTGGTAGACCTCAAAGTGATTCCTCTTTCACGATTGAGTGCGAAATTCTTAAGAGTTTTAAGCTATAGAATTTCTGTAATAAATATTGATATAAAACCAGGAAAACACCACTCCTCCACATAGTCATTACTTGTTCATCCAAAAACACTGGGAATAAATCTCTGTAAGGTACTCATTATAATTCATATCGAGGTTTCGAGTCCACATCATAAAACAAAGGACGCGGTCATTGCTTCCCTCAATAACAATATAGCAAAGCGACCATAGGGAAAAACGGTCATAAAGTACAAAAATAAAAGATCAAAAGCTCGTCTATTCGATACCGAGAATCGAGGACAATGTTCGTGTCCAGCTATGGCCATAGAATGGATAGTTTGTATTGAATTACTTAAACATTAAGATATCGGTGCTCGAATCGGATCGTGATCGGCGAACGTGAAATGTTTTATTTAATAATCTTTTAGTACTTCGTCCAGGTTTAGTTGTTCGTTCTCTTTTATTGTAAGTACTTTGTAAACCGAGACTGGTACAATGTAGGTATACCTAGTAAGATTGTTTTGTTTCCAAATATAGCCTTGGACTTCGTTTGTTTTACTATGTCTTCGGATATTGTATTGCCTGGTCATCTATTGGTACAGCGATCTAACTCAATATTTTGAAAGAAATCGATTAAGAGGTTAGTAATTTATTTGGTCAGTAGAATACCAGCGCAAGACCCTGTCTTGCACATGCTGAACTGGTCCCATTTTACGGTTGACTTGGAACATGAACTTGTGTTTATCTGTACCTACTAATAAAGTAATACTATAATCTGTGCATATCACTTGTAATTAGCGTGTGAAATAAAGTAATTTTTTTCTTTCTATCTGATTACATATCTACAACAAAATTTTGCCCTGTATAGGAATAATTATTATTAACACTTATATGAGATCATCATAGTCATTCGCAAGTCATCACGTCAGGCGGTGCATCCTTAAAACTTCTGACATTTTGACAACAGACACCTAAACCTGAATGGGAAATACGGCAAATATTTTTGTATCGTAATATTTTTCAATAAACCAACTTCCTTAGAATATTTCTCAAGAGCTTTCCGATCTCTTAAGCTCCTTACTGACCTTAATTTTTTCAAAGCTTAATGAAAGCCTACCTTTTCCATTCAGTACACAATTGATACTGTTTACATACAATGACCTCGTTAAAATATTCATTCAGATTTTTTTATATTTCGGTATAGGTCAATACGTGGGTATTTTTTTGTTTACACACAAACTTTTATTTTATTTCGCTACTTTGAAACCTATGTCACCGAGGTTGAGTTTATTATTAAATATGAACTTTAATATATTTAAATTAAATTTTCCGCCGCTTAAATTTTTTCGGAAATAAGAAAACTATCACTATATTAGTAATATTTATGTAGTACACATCTGTTTAACCTTTTCTCGTTTTAAGTATCATACATTAATGGCGATCTGTAAAATGTATACAATTTTTTTCTGTATGCAATAAAGTATAAATAAATAAAATGGCTGCAACCCGGTGAGTGGCCGCAAACAGGCGAAATCACTCTTCTTTGTTTTATTAAAAAATCTAAACCCTTAGTCAGAAGACACATAAGGCACAGAAGTCTCTTTTGTGTAAGTTTCTTTTTTTTAATATTTGATGGGCCGACGTTTGGATACTATCTCAGCTGATGGTTAGCGATGATGCGGTCTACGATGGAACATGTCGTCCCATAAGCAACCTATTCACTCGGGCCTTGAAGACACCCAGGTTATAGGTAATGTACCCTTTAGGAAACACAGAAAAACACAACACAGTTACTTATTTCTGTCAGTACTTTACCAAGTAGCCATTACAATTTTTATTTAAACGATTAGGTACTATTATAAGTATTGCGTTATTGGCACAGCAATTATCTCAACCCTGAACACCTTTTGTTGGGTAGTGTATTTTCCATAAGATCCTCTTTCAAAACTCTGTCTCACGCCTTCATTAATCATATCATTGCAGTAGTCGTGAAGTGTACCGGTATATGATAGTTTTAATTATCTGATAGGCTGAGAACACAGCCGTTTATAGGCCACGTCTGTCCCACGCCTAAGTTCACGACTCGACCAATGTCAGCTGAGTATTATTGTGTCATATTCTCACAGAACAGGTGAGAAATAAGTCCTGGTCTTGTTTACATAATAATATTAGACTTTTTATTGTTTGATTGGATAAATAGAGCAGATTTTTTTAGCTAAGTGACAGGAAAATTATGTTTTAATCTAACGAAGCAAGTAGGTAAATTGTTTTTTACATTTCTATACAGAGTGTTAACGGAACGCAATCGAAACGCTGACAACTAATTTTTATTTTTTTTTTAAAAAAACGTTGCTCCACATTAGGATTTTCTCCTGTGTCGTGTGTGCGTTTACAAACATACAAGTTCACATACACATGCCACCCAGACCCGGAACAACAATTTGTGGATTACACAAAGCGTTGTTCCGTGCGGGATACGAACCCACGACACGTTGCGACAACTCACACGACACCAATTTACAGTACTAAAGACGTGTAGTTATGTATATATGATTTATCATCGTATTGTGTTTAAATTCAATTGACAATCATACATAGTTATGTACCTTTACTTACGTTTCCCACACCACTTACTTACAAAGTTCCTTGAGCATATTTTCCTAGAAATAACAAACATAGACTATTCATAAATATTAAAAGACTATTTACTCCCGCACGGTTTTAACTACTCTGCTGGGTTCTTATTGATTGTACCGTGATGTTTTATAGGCTATAACCTTCCTTAATAAATTGACTATTCGACACAAAAATAATTATTTAATTTGGACTAGTAGTTTCGGAGATACATCCACTTACGTCCAGTTTCAATAACCTATCTATCTGTAGATTTGCTTACTAGAGATAGAATTTTGACACTTTTCGTATGGAGCTCATGTCAAAATTCTATCTCTAGTACCTACCTAAGCAAATCTACAGATAGATAGGTAATTGAAACTGGACGTTAATCAGTTGTCTTTGTAGTCCGATGTAACTGTCAAAGCTTTTAAATTTTCCTGTCCTAGTATGAATTTTGAAAATGCTCTCTTAGCATAAGAATAAGTGGGGCTCAATACCCGACACGAAGCTGCGGAAGACCTAGCGGGTTACCGGGGCTCCAGCTCGAAGAGCAGGAGTAAGAACGGGGTGGTTTTTAGTCAGTAAGAGTTTGACACTCCCTCTCGCCTAACCCAAAGCGGGAGAAGCCATTGTATGCTTCAAAAAAAGGAATAGGAATAAGCATGTGATATATTTACTCGAAGTATGATAATTAGAGGTGATAATACTCCCTCATAATTGCCTAGGCACAGTTACTTACTCAGTTCTGTTGTATTGTAACACTCGTACACCAATAAAGATATAAATGAACATTCAACATCCATAAATCGCTGTCTGACATGGGAATCAAAATTTCGCAAGCATTTACAACACATAAGACTATAAGACCATTAAAACTGTGCCTACGGTAGTTTCTTTCATCATGATCCACCACAATGCCTTTGTTGTCACTTGGATCGAACCTCTGATGGCAAATAGGGATGATGACAAGGTATAAAAATTAAAAATCTAATTAGTCCGTCAGTTAGGTAACGAAAAAATATTATACACGTATTTTTTTATTTTATCGTATAAGAACACAATATTAAGATAAAACAAAACAAAGTTTAGGAGTGGGGGCTAAAACGTCATTTCTACGTATAAAATGTACATAGAAGCGACGTCACACGACATTTCAAATCAATATATCATCGAAAGTATTCGTTTCTGTGAGAAAATAAAAAATACGTATCTATTGATTTAAAATGATCTACCAGACGGATATTAAAATAAAAATTAGGCATCTACTCTATTATACCCTGTCATTTCTATAGACGATTTGTCAATGTGTACTTTCGATTTCAACCGTGTCGATGACCCGATAACTGTCATTAATGTCAAACGGACAATTACCGAGATTATATAAGGAAGCCGACGCACCTATTATGCTATTATACGCTTTATTACACGAAGCAATTAGTGTGAAAGTTGCGTGATTGATCGGTGAAACGATGGCAGTTCATTCACTAGTGTTTGTTGAAGGTATGTACGGTTTTTAATTAGTGTATTTTTTTGGTTTCATTTAAAAATGGATTATTGGATTTTATAGAAAATTGATTTTTTTGTTTTGTATGCCATTTATATCTAATGAAGAAAACGTTGAATTTTAAAAAGATTGTAAATGTCACCTTGTTGCTTGAATGATAGCTTTTACAAACGCGTAATATATGCCTCAGGCTGTTTCAATGTTCGTTAAAGTAATATGTATAGAGATATTTTATGAACTCCTGCGACGTTGGCCGAGTGGTCGCAAGTATGACTGCCGAGCAAAGGGGTTTCGAGTTCGATTCCCGGGTCGAGCAAAGTATTACTGGGTTTTAAAAAAAAATCTCAGTAGTAGCACGGATTCTGGAACTGTGCCCGGTATATGGCAATAGGCTCACCCCCTATTACATGGGACTCATAACATAAATAGTGAAAAGTGGGTGTTACATTGTACAGTGGCATAATGTGCATCTCCGCCTACCCTTTCGAGGATAAACGGCGTGATGTTATAATGAAAATTTTGTTTAATTCAAGGAATTGTTTTCGTGTGACAAGATGGTCGTTTCCTTTAATACATAGCACGACAGTCAATATCATGCAAATATTTGGTAAGTGAATGCTACGTTATACGTAACTTAATGTAATTGGGTACTTTCTTTAATCAAAAATAAATGAATACGATTGTTCAATAATCACATTTTCATTAATTGACGTTATGACCAACTTGATTTTAGTATTTTCCAGCATTTTTTTTAAGAAACTAGCTTCTGCCCGTGACTTCGTACATGCAATCCCGTTTTCTCCCGTTACGTAGGATTTTCAGGATTTTTTTTCTATCATAAGAACCTTCTCCTGGCAATAAAAAACGCAACAAAAATAACCAGCCAAATCAGTTCAGCCATTCTCAAGTTAGGGCGTGACAACGGGACACGGGTTTCATTTTTATATATAGTATAGATAAGTATGCTGTTTGACGTTAAAGAAACGTGACGTCACAATACACAATCTCGTACTAAATTCATAGAAAGATGTCGTTTTTGACAGTTCAAAAAAAGTATTTAATTTGACTAGTTGGCAAGTACTCAATTAATTAATGCAAGTCACATAATTTTTATGATGTTGGTACAGGATGTTCTTTCAATATTTAAAAGGCAAAATCACTTAATGACTTTAACTTCTTTGTTCAAAAGCAAACAGAACAGTTACGACTGTTTGAATGCCCAGTGGGTCCCTCCATGTCTAAATTTACTTGGGTCCAAAAATATACGTCATAATTTCAGTAAGTTTTCCTCAAAAGTAATGAAACGTCACTTCACAAGACGTCCCTCAAAGGAAAATGTAATAAAAGTGAAACACGCTGTACCTTATCAAGATGGAAATATTTAACTCCATTATATTTTTTAATTCGAAAGTTTTTAAATTTGGATTGAAAATGAATAGTGAGAAAAATAATTATAAATATGTAATTCGTGTTATAATAAAGTAAAAGTGATTACTTTAACTGCCTCGATGGTCGAGTGCTCGCAAGTACAACTGCCGGGCAAGGGGTCTTTGGTTCGATTCTCGGGTTGAGCAAAATATTACTGGGTTTTTAACACAGGGTCTAGAAATGTGCCCGGTATATGGCAATGCCCCCCCCCCCATGTAATATGGTGTACATAACACACTCATAACATAAATAGTGAAAAGTGGTTATTACATTGTACAGTGGCATTAAGTGCCATAATGCGCACCTCTGCTTACCCCTACGGATAAATGACGATTACTGATGATGATTATTTTAAGTAAGTTATAAACTAAATGATAAAAAGTAATAGTTCTTTCAAATTCCACGACTTTTTTAATGAGACCTACATTTCTGTATGTACAACGTATGCGTTTAGTCTAATCCAAATAATGTATCGACTTTTATTCCGTAATACCTATTTAGCATGGAATCTAGAAAGTGATTAGTCACTGGAAAAAATAGACTGATTCTATGGTTGAGTAGTCGCCGGCGTATCTAATTAATGAGGTTCGAACCCCATCGCCAAGGTAATTGCTTTTCTTTTTCAATTGCAACAGTGTCAGTTATGATAATACCTATAGTTTCTGAGATGTTATCTTCCGTTTGGTAAGGGGTAGGCAGAGGTGCGTCTACATTATAACACAGACATTTCACAGTTAGGTATATATATTTTTTAATTGTCTAGACTGAAATTGACTAACCCAAGTTTTTTTTTGATAACGGGGGAAACCTTCAAAATGCGCCTAGTTTTGTTGGGGATAAAAAACTAGGAAGTGTGGGATTCCTACCTCATTAAAACTACCCCGGTGGCCACCATCATCGCCTATGGGGGCATAGAGTCCTCTATAATAGACCTGCACCGAAATATCTACGGGAACCCGACACCGCTAGCTCGACAGTCACTTGCGACTACTCACTATACATTTCTTAAGACAGGGATGATGACAGTGTATGAAAACTTGCGCACTTGCGACCATTCGGCCAACGAGGCAGTCAAAGTTTAGGAGTGGGGGCTAAAACGTCGTTTCTACGTATAAAATGAACATAGAAGTGACGTCACACGACATTTCAAATCAATATATCGTCGAAAGTATTCGTTTCTGTAAAAACTAAAAATAAATGTATAATGTTTTAAAATAATCTACCAGACGTAAACGTTAAAATAAAAATTACGAATAACTAGATAACTAGTTCGCAGTAACAGTAACTTTAGACTACTTCTGCTAATCCCCTCGCGAAATAACAACCGTGATATTACATAAACATTACAACATTACATTGCATGTTATATGAATAGAGAACATTATTTATATGGGCTTTCCACGTCATCACTAAGTACGGTTATTAAACATTATTGTATGTATGTGCCACAATATGAGCCGTGACAAATTGTCGGCCTATGCTATGTACCTGTTATGTATTAGGAGAAAATGTACTATGTGGTGAATGGTGTATTGTGAAATAATTTAGATGTGTGTATTGAAATAATTTGCCTTATTTTTGGTTGATTTTGAGGTAAAGTCCCGGGAAGCGAGCGAATTCGCGCGGGCGACTCGCGAGCTGCGCATTCGCGGAGTATTCGTCGTACATGGACGCACTCTTACAGCAACCATTATGTCTTCTTTAAACATTTGTTAAACTAGGAAATACTTTTCAGTTTCACTATGTTCATTATAATGTATTTTGGTTTACTCACGTAATTATTTGACGACTAGTTTCAACGACTTTCGCGCTGCTTGTCGCGTCGCGTGTCGCGGAATTCTGCTCATGAATATAAGCCTCTAGCATGGCTTGAAACTAGTCGAGTTTCTCGTCAAATAATTACGTGAGTAAGCCAAAAAACATAATAATTATTTTGTTTGTCTCACGGAAGTTATAGTAGTTATAGCATTTTACTATATTAATTGTAATGGAGGAACCTATTGCCATGTCTAGGAGAAGTTCCAAAATCCGAACTATAAGTGGTTAAGTACTGTAAGATTATAAGTGAGGATGAAATTGTGAAACTAGTACTATAAAAATTTATTCGCCTTTGGCATTGACTTTTCAGTTGACAAACCTCTAAAACTCGTGATCAAAACTTAAAAAGAAAATTCTACCAAAATTCCAACGAGCATGCGTCGTAAATCTACTGCAATTACAGTAAGACGAACAATATTGCAATCCATTTTACACTAATTTCAATTCTCCTTCAACGGTGTAAGATTGCATTTCGTGTAACAAGTGTAACGTTTACATACCCTTCCGTGTCTTAGACTAATCAGGGTGGGAGATGTGTGAATGTGTTACATAAATTAAATCCCTGGTTTATTGTGCTGAGGACAACACATCAAGCTACACTAATATTGAACTTTCAACCTTATCTTCTTCTTGTAAAGTTGACAAAGATGGGAAGCTTGACATACTGTGTGTACCTGATGTCACATTTTGAAGCCAGTCCTCATTAAATGTGGTAGCTAGCTATTGTTTAAGGAAAACGGAGCGAAAATTCTTTGAAGAAAAGACATTGACCTCATTTCCAGGAAGTACCCTGAATTCTTCTGGATGTTATATCTATGTAGTGTAACCTTTTAAGGTAATCATTATGGTCTATAACGACAAACCTATGAGAGAAAAATTAATATTGCTGACATCCAAACTACTATAATGTTGCCAACAAAACAAATCAAAACTGTAGACGAAGTGTAGGAGAGCCATGCTTCGGCACGAATGAGCCGGCTCAACCGGAGTGATACCACGGCCGAGTAGAAAACTGAAGTGAAACAACGCTTACGTTATGTTTCGTCGTGTGAGTGAGGTTACCGGAGGTATCCAGCGTTCCCCAATCTCCCCAATTCCTGAATCCCCAACAATCCTCAAACTCCTAATCCCCAAAAGGTCGGTAACGCACTTGTAACGCTTCTGGCGTTCCAGGTGTCCATGGGCGACGCCGATTGCTTACCATCAGCTGATACGTCTGCTCGTTCACCGGCTTATCAAAAAAACTTTAAAAATTACTCACGATGTTTCTGGCAACCATCAACATTCTCTGGCCAGTCGCAGGAGTGGGCGTTCTCATTGTACAGCAGACCTCCAATGCAGAGCTGTTCCGTGGCGGTTCCGTTCCAGCAGGTCCAGTACCTGGTGCAAGAGGTCTCGTGTCCGAAGATGCCGTACAGCCAGTCGCAGTGCTCCGAGCCGATAGGAGGATCTGAGTGAAGAAAAAGAAGTTAGTGTTTGGTTGAATTGGAGAAATAGCCCTCTGCAACTGACGTGGTTAAATTGTTACAATTCAACTGAGGTGTATATTATACCAGACACCATTTCAACAGCAAATATTTTTGTAGAATTAAAGTATAGCGAGCACTATACAGTAAGGTACTCGCAGCAGTGATGCTCGTATTGAAAAATGACGGTATACACGTGATTTTGTATTTCGCGGTGTCTGTAGGACTACACGTCAGCTGCAGACGGTTAAGAAACACATAACATAACATCACACCTTTTTATTCAGAAGGGGAAGGCAGAGGTGCACATTACGGCACTTAATGCCACTGTACAATGTAACACCCACTTTTCATTATTTATGTTATGAGCCCCATGTTATAGGGGGTAAGTCTATTGCCATATTCCGGGCACAGTTCCAGACTCCGTGCTACTACTGAGATTTTTAAAAACCCAGTAATACTTTGCCCAACCTGGGAATCGAACCCGAGACCCCTTGCCCGGCAGTCGACCTTGCGACCACTCGGCCAACGAGGCAGTCAAATAGGAAACGCATTACTAAAAAGCTATAATAAAAAAAAAAGTGCCTAGCTGTTGAAATAGGCTGAATTATTCTATCCTACTGATATTATTATTCGTGTAGGTATATGTGAAAGTTTTTGAGGATGTTTGTGTGTGTGCGTGTGTGTGTAACGGCTGAATGAACCGAGATGAAATTTGGACAGGAGTAGATTATGGCCTGGAACAACACATAGGCCTGGCTTTTTATCCTACAAGAACGCAAGCGAAGCCGCGATGTTGGAAAAATACATAGCATTAATATATTCGCTATTTCCAGAAGATAAAAAGGATGTTTATCTCAAAGAATGACCGATGTGCTGTTATCGTAGTCTACTTGTATTATTTCAGTGTACACCTACATTTTCTTTAAATGTTACCTCCTACTTACAAGGTTAGTGTTTGTAGGATTCGGTCCACTTCATGTGAAATCAGGTTCCTTTCTTCTAGATTAATGAAAAATTCATCGAATTTTTTAGAAATAGTCAAGTGAAACGAAAATACCAAGAAACCTCGAAGATACTAGAAATCTATTGTTTAAATGTTACCCAAGATTTTTCTAGTGTCGTATTTGGAAATATAAATGTCACAGACACAACACATTCAGACAGAAAATATGTTATTTGTTCATACATAGATATATTTGATCACTGCAAATGATAGCTATAACTTTGTCAGCATTGTATTGAGGTCCTGAACTCATCATCATCGTCAATATCAACAGCCTATAAGTGGCCACTGCTGACCAAAGGCCTCTTCTCACACGGAGAGGGTTTGAGCAATTATCACCACGCTTGCGGGTGCTGGTCGGCAATTTCACTTATAATTAGAAATTATCAGCCCAGGTTTCCTCACGATATTTTCCTTCACCGTTTGTCAGTGGTGTCTAAATAATCTATAGAGTATATCATCATCATCAACAGCCTATAAATGCCCACTGCTGAGCAAAGCCTCTTCTCACACGGAGATGGTTTGAGCGTTAATCATCACGCTTGCTTAAAGCGGGTTGACGATTACAAACTTATAATTAGAAATTATAAGCCCAGGTTTCCTCACGATGTTTTTTTTTCCTTCACCGTTTGTAAGTGGTGTCTAAATAATCTTTGAAAGTACATGTAACTCGGAAAAGTCACATTGGTACTTGTCGTTGGTAGGTTTCGAACCCGCGGCCACGTGCATGTGAAGCGGGCGTCTTAAACCTCCGGCCCACTACAACGCAACATAATTTGATTATAGCTTTTACCATTATTCAATTTCTACTGCTATAAAAATGAATATCAAATGATCTACTTACTGATCTGAACCTTAGGATACTCGCAGTAGTTGGACCTCCACGGGTAGTCACATCCCTCCGTCACTCCTCGGTGCTTGCCAGCGAAGACCAGCCCGTTAGGACAGTCATACTGGACGGACTGTCCATTCTCACACTCCCAGTATTTATCACAGTACTTGTCATCAGCCACTATTCTTGATTTCGTTTTGCAGGGGTCCTCGATTTGGGCACATGATGCGAAGGTGGCCGCTAGCAGAACTGTAAAGAATGAAAAGTCTGTTAGGATATTTTTGGTTGTTGACTCTTCAGTTTCATGGTCATGAAATCATGTTTTGAATTTTGGGGAGTTATTGTATTTCCAAAAAAAAGTCTGACAGTTTGTTCAAAATTACATAATCTTGACTAATTTTGCACTATTCCCGATAGTAAAAGGTTTGAGAAGATTCAAAACTACTTATGTAAATGAAATATTCGTAATACTCCATATTATAAAGTAACTAAATAAAATATCGATTCATCCTTATCCAAGATTCTGATATCCACAATGAACTGTGAAGGTCGACCCTGAACTTTTGAAGATTTTTTACACTTTTGAACTTCAGTCCATCGAGTGGAAAGTCAACGAGGTTTGAGAGGGACCTTTTTCGCAGTTTTGACACAATTCCAGCACCTCAGGAAGTCTTTGTGTACAGTAACGATTCATACTGCGTTATTATCTCACTGCTAACCCCAATCACAATGGCATAAGATTCAAAGTTACTCAGCAATAGGGTAACAAAGAATTTCAGTGGGGTATACGCATTACGCATATTTCTAAGTAAGATTTTTTCTTTCCAAGCCTCGATTTATTATCTTTTTGGTATTTTTAATGCTTTTATGATATGTTATGGGAATTTTCTACTTTTATAAACATGTTTGTTGAAGGGTTCCAAGACGAAATGCTCTTTGATGGATGACTTTGATTACGATAATCAAAGGCCTGTTTGTGGTCAGAAAGTATTGGAGAAGGAAAATTCTTATAACTTTTTAACATAATGTTGTGGTGTGCATGGTATCTATCCCTTTCTTACAGTAACATTCTACGAGTTTATGATGTGTCGTATACCTACAGGGTGTAATCAGAACGCTCCTAAAACGCAGACAAACAGAAATTGGGTTTGCAATTTTAATTGTTTTTATTATCGTGTTATTCACACAACATCATCATTGAGCAGTTGATTACAACTATTATTATATAAAACAAACATTTAATTCCTTATTTTTATGAAAATAGTACTTGTTTTTTAACATCACCTGTCGGCGTTTTACTGGAGCATTCTGTTTACACCCTGTATTATGTCCATTTCAGTAAAGAGAAAGTTTCTTATAAAAAAATAATTAAAAATAGGTTTCCTACTATACCCAAGCAATATTTTCTCCAGTAATTAAAATATTCAAGTCTTTGAAGGTCAAATTAGGCTAACGAGATACTGATGACATTCTGAGCGATCTTCATACATTTTTATAACTTTTGCAATTGTTATGAGGATTGTAATAAAAATCTGTTAATTACTGTAATATCACGTCTATTATTACCGTGAGGGACAAACAGACACAAACTTACTGGTCTTTAATTGTGATATCAATTGAGTACATGACTAAAACATCGAAAACAATCCTTTCATTGATACTGATTTGTCTCTGTTAAGAGTTAAGGAATAGAATTTATAACTATATAGTCTATATAGTATTTAGTCGATATATAACTATATAGTCGCATTTGTAATTTCACAAATGGGACCAACAAGAGCCAAGAATGATGAGTAATTCATATTAAATAAGCTTAAAATGTTAGCTAGGGTTACCCAAGTTTATAATAAGTCTCAAGATGCAACAAGGTACAATAATAATTATAGGGTGGTTTTAGTCTGACGCTGAACTTCTAGGAACCGCAGGATCGACGCGCAACGCGTACGGCCTAGTCAGGACGATATTAAAACAAGCTACGCTGATCGTCAGCGCTGACCAGCAACATGTTGAGCTGTCAGCGCTGACGGTCAGCATGACCTTTAAAATCAGCGTAAAGTTTTCATTAAAAAATAATTCTTTTGTTCTCAGACCAAATTTGCGTAGCTTTTTTGTGACAGGAAAATTAATTAATGACTTCTCCCGCCTAGGTGAGGTGAGAGGGAGTGTCAGACTCTTACTGACTAAATATCACCCCGTTCCTACTCCTGCACTTCAAGCCGGAGCCCCGGCAACCCGTTAAGCCCTCGTATTGACATCAACCCTATTGGGCCCCATCTGTGGTGGTCTGATGGCTCCGTACGCTCAATTTTGCGTATTATAGGCATAAACGCAGCAATCATTATGACGCTGCCCGTATCAAACCACACCCGGCTTCATTACCGTGTCAGTGCATAATTCAGTATTTTGCGTTTGTAATTACCTCATTTGATAATACCATTCCGGTGGTATTACTGGACAATACACTTACATGCACGCAATGAGAATCTTTACAAATACTGACTAGGTAAGTTAACCGCAGTAGCTGTTACAAAGGGGCTGTTAATCTGTTAAATATGACCTGGGTTATGATGTGACCATATTATTATGATGTGTACATCTGGAATTTTCAAAATCCGAATCGAATTATGTGTGTGGTGGGGTGTATCATGAATAATGCGCTGTCAAACCATGTAGGAAACAGTACTATTATTTACACCGGTTCTAATTCGAAGACATTTTTAAATAAAAGGTAGTATTAAATTACTTAAATGACAAATAATTTAATAGTTCAGAAACTGAAACAATTTCAATGTCACACATCAAAGCATCTCCGCTACTCTTGCGCAAGGAGTACTTTCTCTGCGCCTGCACACTACACAAGTACCCTCACACACACACTGACGTAAGTGACGTAACTCGTGTAACTTCGGGAAACAGTATAACACGGTCATCTGGCTTTGTCTTTTTATTAAATATTACTTACTAATTTCGTTCCCGTGGGATATCAAAATATCAAGTATTCTATGTGTTATTCCAGAGCCTCAAGTCTGCTACAAAAGTGTCAGAATAATCCATCATTGATTTCAAAATTGTTGATTTTGACAAGTTTGGTTAATCTACTAATGTAATGGCGTCATTATGACTTTCCAATGGTCAAATGGACACACCAAAGAAAGTAATGACTTAAAATGGTAATCTCGTACGTAATGACAGATACTTCAGATTGTATATAACAGTGATAAATATTTTGTAAAATAACAATAAATGTTCAAATTGAGAAGTAGTTTTTCGAAAACTATTTCTACTACAAAGTTTTATAATAATGGCAATACGGCAATGTCATTCTACTATAATTCCATTACGAGACTATTGACCGATCAATGATCGACTATTATGAATTTAGCAGATTACGAACTTTTAGCAAAATGGCAATGCGATCGTGTTGGAATGACAACAATAGGGATGATGACAGGGTATGAAAATAAAAAAATTAGGTTAGATAATAAAAAAATATTAGCTACGTATTTTTTTATTTTGTCGTATAATAAAACAATACTTAGATAAAACGAATCAAAGTTTAGGAGTGGGGGCTAAAACGTCGTTTCTACGTATAAAATGTACTGAGAAGTGACGTCACGCGACATTTCAAATCATTATATCATCGAAATTATTCGTTTCCGTAAGAAAATAAAAAATACGTGTCTAATGTTTTTTAATAATCTACCAGATGGACAATAAAACAAAAATTAGTCATCTACCCCTTTATAAATAGTAGACTTGAGGCCCAGACCATAATGTACCCAAATTACAATTTGACCTCTTCAGCCGTTTTACCGTAATTGAATAACAGACATATACACAAAGTTTCGTATTTATAATATTAGTAAGATTTCCTAATACGTGTTAAGTCATTTGTATTTACATATGTTTTATGCTTTTTGTGTATTTTGCTAAATAGCTGTGACGAGCGATAGAAATAGGTAGTCTGTGCATGCGTGCGTGAAGTTTTGTTGGGTAATGAAGTGTGTGTGTGTAATGCTTGTCTATTTGTTTGTTTGTTGGTTTGTTGAGATGTCTCGTTGGCCGAGTGGTCGCAAGTACGACTGCCGGGCAAGGGGTCTCGGGTTCGATGATTCTTGAGACGTGTAAAGTATTACTGGGTTTTTCTCAGTTTTAGCACGGAGTCTGGAACTGTGCCCGGTATATGGCAATAGCCTCACCCCCTATTACATGGGACTCATAACATAAATAGTGAATAGTGGGTGTTACATTGTACAGTGGTGTAAGTGCCGTAATGTGCACCTCTGCCTAGCCTTTCGTGGATAAAAGGCGTGATGTTATGTTGTTTGTTTGTGTGATTATACTGTGTGTGTGACTATGCTTAATATTTTGAATTAATTGAGATGAAAATTGAAATGTATGTACGAAGATAGTAATCAACTTCATTACTCTGGGAGAAGCATAAGCGCCTGTCTGTTTAACTCATCGAGTACCGGTTTTGTAGACACAATTATAGAACAATAGGTTGCGGTCACCGGTGACCGCTTGGTGTTTGACAGTTTAAAAGGGCAGGTAATTTTTCTTGCCATAAATAAATGACCTACTAAACAGTCGTTCATATCTTCCTTTTCTTTTATCCCACACAATACAGCATTTTATGCCACTGTACAATGTAACACTCACTTTTCACTATTTATGTTATGTGTCCCATGTAATAGGGGGTGAGCCTATTGCCATATACCGGGCACAGTTCCAGACTCCGTGCTACCACTGAGAAAAACTCAGTAATAGTTTGCCCAACTCAGGAATCGAACCCGAGACCCCTTGCCCAGCAGTCGCATTTACTACCATTCGGCCAACGAGGCAGTAGTTCAGTGACACCACAAAATACAGTTCAAAATGTTAATTTGCGTAAAAGGAGACGTCATGATTACTATGATAACAGTACCGACATACTAATAATCTTCGATGGCAAAGTTCGCATAAAATATTCAGAATATTTTATATTCAATTTAATCAAATCGAACTCCATTAATTAGTTCGATGACGGAAACGAACATCAAATAGTGTCTTTGACCTTTGATCTTGATTCGTGACATTTGACGGGCGAGGATGCGAAACGTGCAATATTAATTTATTAATTAACTAGCTTTTACCCGCGGCTTCGCTTGCGTCACAAAAGGATAAAAAGTAGCCTATGTGATATATACCAATACACACAACGCTATCTATACCAATACTTTTGTTTTCCCTCGGAAATATCAATTTTT